ATAAATGGAGATCTCCATTCCCAAATTAACTTCAACCCTAAATAAATAAATAAATATTTGCCTACAATTATTTATTATTTTTAATTTAGGATTAAAGTTGATTTGGGTACAAAGATTTGCATATCTGTGTGGATCTTAATAAGAGGAAGAAGGAATCGAAGGATGTGAAATTACCATTAGGACCCTATTTCTATAAGTCAACTAACATAATTTTTAACAAAAGACTAAATTGTATAAAATCATCAAAATCGAAGATTAAATTAAGTACAAAAAGTCATTTAAAATTAAATTTAGTAAAATTACTACCGTCAAGGACTATATTAGATATTAACGCATATTATAATTGAAGGATTAAAATTAAAATTAAAATAAATAAAAGTCACCACTAAAGAACTTCGTTCAGGTGAAATGTTAGATTTATATGTACGCAAGGGGATGAAAGTAGAAAAAGATTGGCTAAGACACGTTGTCATAACTCATAATGAGGGGGGTGGGCGGGGACGGGGGGCACAAAACCCAACAAATGAAAGAACCTGGACTCTTTTCCGTCCACCTTCATCATCTACTTCCTCTGATCCAATACCTTACGCCATCTTTCCTCTTCACACCATTGGTCATCGGAAACTGTCTGCTTCTTCTCTCCTCATTTCTCATTTTCTCATTCTGTGTTTCTCTGCAATTGCATACGCAATTCGTTCATTATACTGCCTGTCTGACTCTGTATATCTATATATATATATATACATATACATACAGAGAGAGAAAGAGTGCGTGTGAGAGAGAGAGAGATGAAGAACAATAGCTGTGCTAGAAAAGGAGTCAAAATGGAGGATTTTCAAGCTATTCACAAGCTTCCTCACGGCGATAGTCCCTACGTCAGAGCAAAATATGCTCAGGTAAACACGTTCCCCACTCTCTGTAGTTGTAGTTGTGAATGAAATATGTGTATATCCATATATGCACGTACTTGTGTATATACATGTGTATGTGTATCTGTAACTGCATGACTGTAATTACAGTCCGTGTTGCACATTTTTGCTGTTCTAATGGCGATCTATCGTTTCATTTGGATTGGAAAGCCGAGAAGTTTAAATAGATCGGTATTAGATGAATTGAATGCTACTTTGATTTGTAATGATGTGTTGAATTGAAGTTCTATTAAATCTCGGCGAAGGTTTGAGAATTGTGTATAGATAATGGCTGCAATGCTTGAAAACAGCTCGGATTGCAATCCTGGTTTGTGATTATTGGTGAATTTAAACAAAGACACTTAAATCATAGTATATACTACGGAGTATTTGCTTAATTCAATTTCCATGTAACTTGCAGCTAGTTGATAAAGATCCAGACGCTGCTATAGTGCTATTTTGGAAGGCAATTAATGCAGGAGATAGGGTTGATAGCGCGCTGAAAGACATGGCAGTAGTTATGAAACAACAGGACAGGGCTGAAGAGGCAATTGAAGCTATTAAGTCCTTTAGGGGCCGCTGTTCCAGGCAAGCTCAGGAATCCCTGGATAATGTTCTTATCGATTTGTACAAGGTATGATATGGTGAACAAAGTTTTTTTGGTTTTTTCTTGCTTAAAGTTACTGTGGTTTTTATGTATTAAGACTGTGTTTGTCATGGATTTGGCAGAAATGCGGAAAATTAGATGAGCAGATAGAACTGCTGAAGCAGAAGTTGCGGATGATTTACCAAGGAGAAGCATTCAATGGAAAACCTACCAAGACAGCACGCTCCCATGGGAAGAAATTCCAAGTTACAATCAAGCAAGAGACCACAAGAATACTGGTACTTCATTGCACTTTTAGTCTTCTGTAACAGTTCCTTCAATTTCCCCCAATTTTGTTAAAATTATTTGGGATCAGTTAATATATTTGTCAATGGAAATAACAATGCAGGGTAATTTGGGTTGGGCCTACATGCAGCAAATGAAATATGCAGCTGCTGAGATTGTTTATCGCAAAGCACAGGAAATAGATCCAGATGCCAATAAAGCGTGTAATTTATGCTTCTGCCTTATTAAACAAGTGAAATATAAAGAAGCAAGATATGTGCTCGATGGCGTTTTGCAAGGGAAACTTTCTGGTTCAGACGATCCCAAGTCAATAGGCCGTGCTAAGGAACTGTTGCAGGAGTTGGAGCCTTTTGAATCTGTGAAGTATGCTTCACCTTCACCTTCTACTGGAGTTAGCTTAGAAGATGCATTTGTTGAGGGTCTGGATCAGTTGATGAACCAGTGGGCTCCATTCAGATCGAGGAGACTTCCCATTTTTGAAGAAATCTCCCCTCAAAGAGATCAACTGGCTTGTTGACACATTGAGCTTACTTACAGTCGTGTCGTGCTGCTGATACATGTTTGTAAAAATTTTCCAGGTGATTTCAGACTAGACATGCAGTGTGTAGCGGTTGTGTTCAATAAGATAGCGATACTATAGCAGATGGATATAAATTTTGTGTAGGAGTTTTGATCTGAGCTTGATCTCAATGGTGGAAGCTCTGGTTGATCAGGAGTAGTGGAGTACCTCTCCACCACACACACATACAGGTTCAATAATAGTATTTTGTGCTGTTCAGGGGATTTGCAGTGTTGTCTTAATCTCTAGTTGAGTTGCTCTGTTTCCATTGCTGTAAGTCTTAATGCCTATTATTTCCAATGATCCACTTTTTGAAACTGCATTTCTCCTAATTCTACAAACTTTCACTTAGGCATCTTCAATAGTTGGGGATTTTCCCCGAGATTATAAAGCAGTGGCAAGTGAAAGGAACTTGAATCTTTAAAAGAATTGTTCCAAATAAATTTTAATCGAGACACAGAATATGGCAAATACAAACACATAATGACCCTGTTTGGTGAATGACTGTTAGCTGATAGCTGATTGGTTAATTAGAGGCTATAATTAGTTGATAATATTAGCTAATTGTAGAAAGATGTTTGGTAAATTAGCTGTTAACTAATAGTTGTTTGGTATAATTTCCTTTCTCAAAAAGCTAATTGAAAAAATTGACTTGAGCACCTTTTTGAATTTTAGCATTTTGGAATTACAAAAAAGCTAATTAACCAAATACTTATTGATTCTTTAATCAAATCAAAAAGTTAATAGTGGTCAAATAAGTCAAAATTCACTTATAGGTTAACTATTTTACCAAACAAGGCCAAGGGCCAATATATTATCAGCAAACACATAATATGTTGTATAATGTTATGTGTCAGGAGTTAACATATTATGTATATGTAGTTAACCTATTACGTATCTTCAATTTATTTCTAGACACATAAATTGTTAATTACAAGTATAGAATATGTGACACATAATTTTTAGGTTAGAATTCACAAAGTAAGATAGATGGTTGTATATGATATAGCAATTGCGTAATCACCCTATTTCCCAACCACATGAATGCAAAGTAGCCCATGCGTCATATTTGCATAGGATATACGTACCTTCAAAACGCCAAACAGATGAAAGACATTCAATCCTACAAATCTTGGCGTAAAACCTTATGTCGCTTTCATATATACGACTCGAGACCAACTCTTGTTTGGAGTGTCTAGCCAAACATGACGAAAAATTTTCTCCAAGTTACGTGTAAAATAAGTTTAACTATGAATGTAATTATATTCAAAAGGTTGTTAATTAGTCAAATTTATGAATAACAATTCAATTCAAATTTAATGGAAAAATCCGTCCTCCGTATAAGGTGAAGATGATCCTTGCTAAAGATGGTAATGACAATGGCATTTCCCACCTTAATCTCAAACTTTAAACTTAACCTCGAGGTCTTGAATATTATATATTATTTTTATATTTATATAATTTATCTGTTAATAGTATTCATTAGTACACTAATATTTAATGTTTTTAAATATTTTGTACTACTTGTTTAGTTGGCTTGGTTAGGCATTGAATATTTTGAATATGCATACGAGATATTCAGATATTTTGAGTATTGCGCCCCCCATCACACCAAAAAAAAAAAAAAAAGACAAAATTAACTCGGCAAAAACCATATTGGTAGCTTAAGTATGAGTGGACACAAGTTACATACATTTTTCAAATTTATATTTCTTTTTTTGTTATTGCTTATTTGTATGTTGACTAATTGACTATTCACATATCTATCACCTATTAAAAAAAACAGTTGTTCTTGCGTAAAACAAATAAAATAATATAATAAGTTAATCTCATCTTAGATCCTCCGATTATAGTGATTTTGTTACGTTTAGTCATATACTCCCAAGTTAACCAACTGAGGTTTTTTAACTTTCAAGTTAACTGCCCGTGATCTTTCACTTTTCAAATTTTAATCAATTGTGCTCATTTCAGAAGGATCACGACTAGTTAAAATTCAAAAGTTGAAGGATCACAACTAGTTAAAATTTAAAAGTTAAAGGGACATGTTAATTTTAAATTTGAAAGATCATGAGTGATTAACTTAAATGTTTAAGATTAAACATGGCAAAATCATTTATATTCGAAGGATAGATGGCATTAGCTATTTAGCTCATAATATAATACTTGTTCAATCATTAAAAAAATATTATATGTTTAAAATATCTATCTCATATTGAATAAATTTCGCCCAAATTTATATATATTAAATTTATGATAAAATGTCACAATATTTTTTTTTTTTAAGAAAAAAAAAAAAAAGGAAGAAGAAGTGAAGAACAATGATAAGAGTCATTTTAGTAGGAAGCATGGGGAGCAGACGGACGTTAGTAACGTTAGTTAGGTAGATTGTTAAAAATAACCGCGTGATCCGAAGTGTTCTCCTCAGCGTCAGAGCCTTCCAACTCAAATTTGAAGTTGCCACATTTCTCTCTAATCCACTCGCCTTCTTCATCGATTCGCTCTCTCTCTCTCTGTATCAGCAGTATTTCAAGCTTTAATTTCTGTGTTTTCATCACCTCCTCAATCAATCAAATAATCAATCAATCCATAAATATAATCAAGGTATCTAGCTAGCTGCGTACGTGCCTGGGAAAATTGAACTATGACGCAAGATACGTTGATCTACAGCTTTGTGTCCAGAGGCACGGTCGTCCTGGCCGAGTACACCGAGTTCTCCGGCAACTTCACCGACGTCGCCGCCCAATGCCTCCACAAGCTCCCCTCCACCAACAACAAGTTCACCTACAATTGCGACGGCTACACTTTCAATTACCTCATCGACAAGGGTTTCAGTCAGTCTTCATCTCCTACTTTTTTCATTCATTCATCAATTCACATATATACATGACTACGATCATTTGGATTATATATATTCTAAGGTACCGCGCATGCACGCTATCTAGACTTCAAATTAAAGTGATCTGAAATCTTCAGTTTATATGTAATTTGACCTTGTAATAATAATGCTTGAAGGGATCGGATAATTTCAAGCATATTGGAGTGATAATGAGATCTCTTTTCATATTGGAGTTTCATGAGGATGAAAGGATCGGATAATTTCAAGCATATTGGAGTTGCATGAGGCTGCATGTATGACGGCCTTTAGGTTCCGTTTAGTTTGGTGCTGTTCATATCTTTAGAATGCTAAACTCACCTAATTGATCCATTTTCCAGTTTGAATCCTAAACTTAACTGGTATAGAAATGAGGGAATTGAACTGTTGAAAGGAATTTTTGTTGGTTTCTCCACATGATCTTCAGTTTGCATTTGAGATTTTTTTTTTTGTTATCAATTTGAAGTTTTTTTTCTCTTTCATTTTAATTTATTATTTAGCCACACTTGGCAGCCTACTGCATTGTTGCATCTGAATCTGCTGGATCGCAACTTCCAATTGGCTTCTTCGACCGTGTGAAAAATGATTTTATCAAGAGATATGGTGGAGGGAAGGCAGATACTGCAATTGCCAAAAGTCTTACTAAAGAATTTGGGTAACTCCCTTTTACGTTTTCTGTGGTGTTGATTAGAATTCCTGTCATTCTGGCCATTTATTTATACATCCCACTGTAGGCCAAAACTGAAAGAGCACATGAAGTACTGTGCTGAACATCCAGAAGAAATAAACAAGCTTACCAAGGTGCAAGGTCAAGTCGATCAAGTAAAGGGTGTTATGATGGGAAACATTGAGAAGGTGAGCAACTTTTGCTAGGTCTTTGTTCTAATAAGCTTTGCAGACACTGACAAATGTACATTGATATGTTGCTTATACATTCACTTTATCAGAGTTTGCTTCAACATATTTATCTGGTCTTTAGGTTCTTGAGCGTGGTGAGAAGATTGAGCTTCTAGTTGATAAAACAGAGGATCTTCGATCACAGGTTAGTTTGTTTTCATATATACATATGTTGAACCGATTAAACTCCATGCTATCTTCTTAATGTTTTAATTGTTGCAAGTAGTAGCCTTCTGAAACCCCAAGAATCTTCTTTTAGAAATATATTAGTAGCAATATAAGTGTAAATCGGGGGATTGGGATACTACCCCCACTCCCAAGTCCCAACAACCCGAAAACAGGAAAGAACCACAGATCAAAGAATGGAAAGAGCAGTGGCAGAGATCTACCCCTAACTATGCTTTGGCTAATACATGCTGATGCTGTACTGGTTGTTGTCCATGTTTTGATGTTTCAGGCACAGGATTTCCGGAAACAGGGGACCCAAATCAAGAAGAAGTTGTGGTTCGAAAATATGAAGATAAAACTGGTTGTGCTGGCAATCATTGTAGCTTTGATTCTTATTATTGTATTGTCTATCTGCCATGGTTTCAAATGCTGATTGCCCTGGAAAATATACTAGTTCCCTCCTGGACTCCTTGTACCATGACACATACACAACCATCCAGACATTCCTTCCATGTTCCAACCATGCAGAGCTTTCTTAAGTTAGTTTTTAGAAGAAGTTGTGCAGGTATGCCCATGCTTTTTAAAGGAATCTCTCACACTAATATTTTCTTCATCATATTTACGACGCTTTGCTGTCTTATACCATAAGAGAACTTGTGTAGAGAAATAAGATGTGTGAGTTCAGAAAGTTCTCCATATCCCAACTTGTTATCTGTTTTAGGCAATTTTGAGTTGTTGTCAATAACAGAGGATAGTTGTCCATGTCAATCTATTGTGATAGAAAGAAGACCTGTCAAGTGGGAACTCTTTTTTTTCCCTTTTATCAATACAAGTTTCATTACTGATGATCTTTTTGCTACTATATATATGTATATATATATATATATATATATATCAGTACTTTTGCCTATAAAGAAAGATTTGTTACTATGAATTTGCAGCATATGAGAAGTAAGTAATTATTGGCTCTTGAATTGCTTACATAAAAGAGCTAATCGAAAGAACACAAAAGCTCTCATACTGGTTACAAATTTGATTAACACCTCCATCTCAGCATCCTCCTATACATACATACATACTAGTAACTACTACTACTGTTACTGCATAAAGTTGTAAGCGCGGCATTTCTATCTTTTCTGGAAGTTGAATGCCTTAATGGCGAAGGCGAAAATGAAGCCGAAAAGAACAGGGAAGGCAACCGTGACAGCTGCAACCACTCCAAGAAAATCATGTTTAAACCCAAGGTAATCTTCCACGAACTCTTTCACAGTTTGATCTGAATCTCTCAATTTCGATTCAATATCTCCGAATTGTGATGCCACCAATCCATACAATGTCCATGACACGGGGCATGCCCAGAAGTACCATCTCCACCACACAGGCATGCTCTGTTAAACAACAAATTAGTGCTAACAGTCATAATTAATAATTCCTAATCGTATGGATGGATGGATGGATGATAATTGTGATGATGAAAAGCTAAGCAAGCTTACAGGTCGAGGGATGATGAATCCTGAGAACAAATTCCATATACCGTAGAAGAAGGCGGCGACGATAGATGCAACGTTTTGGTTGGGAGTAACGGCCACAGACATCATGCCGTAGAAGGTGAAGTATAACAGGGAGAAGAACATTACGAAAAAGTAGAAGAAAAACTTAGCCACTGTCCATTCAAACCCGATCATCGCATACACAATCACGCCGTACACTGCTGATTGTAGAAGTATGTAAGGAATTTCAATAAGCGCCTGTGAGCAACAAGAACAACATTAGGACTTTGGAGGAGGAGGATTTAGCATGTTTTCTGGTAAAGAGTAGAAAAAAAAAACTTACCTGTGCAAAGGCATATGGTAAGGCAGAATACATCCCGGCCGCCTTCTCCCTGTAGAAAACAGTACGTTCAACCGCGACCACAGGCTGCACCGACGAAGAGTTTTGCACACCCAGGAAGAGGACCGCAGCGTACATGGATCCCATAGCGTTAAACACATCCTGCTTCCTATCACTGAAGTATATATACCAAACCAGGATGGAGGAAATGAAATTTAGCACCTAAATACTGAATACATACATACATACATACATACAAAGTATTAGTAGTAGGTGGTGTTATGTTTGGACTTACACTTTGGTACCAAGGTCCCAGAACATTGTCCCGAAAGCCAGTGCAATGAAGGATGTGAAGATGAATCTAACAGCGGTGTAAGAGGTGTTACGCCAATAAGACCAGTGTTGCTTCCACAGACAGGCCATACATTGGCTCAAGAAAGACTGTGAGTATTGAGTCCGGAAGTACAAGTCCTTGGAACCCGGGCGAGGCGTGCTTAGTTCACTGATCAAAGCTTTGTTCCTCCTGTACAGATCTGAGTTCTTGTAAGCATCTGTAAAATCCACTCCCAACAGCATTTCTTGAGCTGAAGTTGTCACTTCCAGCATCCATGTTGCTGGATTGTATCCATCCTTGATTTTCGCCACTCCTTCAATCGACTATTTTCACACACAATCAGTATATATATACTTCTAATAGTCATAGATTGATATGAATTTGGAGCTTTGGGGTTATGGAAACTCACCTCAAAGTACTTGATCAAATGGCAAGAATTGCGACCCAATGGCCCCACATATATCTCTTGTCCTCCTCTTTTCATTAGGAATAACTACAGAAAGAAACAAGTATTGATTGTATGTTGATCAGTTATTTTAGTGTCTAAATCATGAAGGGAAATGCCACTCAAGGGAACTTAATTTACCTCATCGAAAGCTTCAAAAATGTCGATGCTAGGTTGATGGATGGTGCAAACCACGGTTCTGCCGGTGTCAACAGTGTTCCTCACAGTTCTCATCACAATTGCAGCGGCTCTCGCATCCAGCCCTGAAGTTGGCTCGTCCATGAATATGATGGAGGGGTTCGCCACCAACTCAACTGCGATCGTTAGCCTTTTGCGTTGCTCGGTTGAGAGACCGTTAACTCCTGGCAACCCAATCAGTGCTGATCTCAATGGCACCAGCTCAACTAGCTCCATCACTTCATCAACAAACATCTGCATGCATTTCAAATTACCCAAATGTAAGTGTCCCGACTTTGACAAGTATATATGCTGTTGTGATTAAGGATGATATGGTTTTTTGGGGGTTTGAGGTGAGACTAACCTTTCTAGTTCTAGCATCTACGTCTTCTGGCAAACGTAGCCAAGCTGAGTAAACGAGGGACTCATAAACCGTGACAAAGGGAGAATGGATGTCGTTCTGTTCACAGTACCCTGAAATCCTGGCAAAAGTTTCTTGCTTCTTTGGATATCCAGAAATCTTGATGTCTCCATCAATGTATCCCCCGGTTTTCCTTCCAGCCAACACATCCATAAGAGTGGTTTTCCCTGCCCCACTCACGCCCATCAAAGCGGTGAGAACACCAGGCCTGAAGGCCCCACTTACGCCCTTTAACAGCACCAATCTATTCTCGGCAGCGCCCTGATCCCTCATTTCCTGAGGCATGTCAACAGAGTACACAACGTCGTCAAACGTGAGGGAATGCGGTTCAAATGGAAGAACCATTCCCCGTTTCTGTGTCTCGGGGGGTGCCTCACTGATTCCATTTCCTCCGTTTGTACCAACAGTTTGGACAGAAGCAGTTTCTTTATCGTCGTCATCATCTGATATAAGAGCTTGGGGCTTGCCAAATGCTGCATAATCAGAGTAACAACAACTCATAATAAGCACCTTAAAGATGAATGAATCTCTTCTGGATACTCAGTTGTTAGGATTCTAAGATACTCACGGTTAAGATATTGGAGAGCTATGGAGTAACACAAGTTGAAGACTATTGTGAACCCGAAAAGTGCCCCCAGACCTATCCAATACCACTTAGATTCTGAGAAGAATCCTCTTGATGTTACAACTCTAGCTCCAAGTGTTTCACTACTGTTCACGACAGGCTGTCGAAATCAAACACCAGAAAATTTCAGTTTGATTCCAAAAAACTATATATGATTGGAAAATTTTTAAGTCACTGATTAAAAGATGTGTTCCATCTCAACTAAAAGTTTAAGCTGACAGAGAGACTGTACATTTACTATTTATTATATATATTATGCTCAACACTTACCTTACTCCAGCTATGTCCATTAAATTCATTAACAAGAATGCCATTCTGGGCATACATCAATGGTGAAGTCCAGTAACCCCAAATCCACCACTTCTTCACATCATCTGCATAATCAGAATGGAAAACCGACTTCTTTGTATCAGAAATTTCTTGCATAATAAATACATATTAGTATGTGTAGTACATAATCATTGTTACAACACAAACCTCGAGAAAGAACAACGCCACCAAGAGCGAATTGCAGAAGCAAAGCAAAGGATCCAAATGTGTTGGCAACTCCCATAGTCCTACCCATAGCAGCAATAAACCGAAACAGTGAAGAAGCCATCTGGTTTACCATGATCAATATCAAGAACTGTTTGAACAACCTGAAACCGAAAGAGGAAATGTATTATTTCTTGATCAATAACAAACCAACCAACCAAGAAATGAAATCATTAGTACACTCATCATGTTTTCACCTGCCAACATTCGGATCGAATCCCATGACATAGTAAGTAACAAACACCCAAAGACCGACTTCAACAAATGTCACCGGGACTTTGAGGATCCAGGAAGGAAGAGCATAAGCCCAAGGAGGGAAAAACAGGAGGTCCCTTTGCTTGTAGAACACCGGCAGCTTATAAATCGTCATAGGAAGCTCAGACATACCGTTGAACATAATCATAACCACCGCGAAAAACAGGGCGCCAACATAAATCCCTCCATCAGTCTCATTATTTTTGTGCATTTCAGTTCGGAAGAACAGTGTCATTGTAATAAGAGCCATAATGGTAAGCTGGAATCCAATATCAATATCGAATCAGTTAACATTCAAAATGTGAAAGGTGCAAACAAAACATCCTTAAAATGCCAGACAGGCAGTTGTGACTTAATGTTTTACCTGGCAGAACTTGAAGACGTAAGCAAATGAGTTTCTCTGCATTAGCAAATACTCTCTCTCAGTGCAAACCTTCAAGAGCTGCTTACTTCCTATGCCATATTTCTCGTTTGTCAAGGCCGCAGGATGGCTTTTGGTTTTATCGTACGGTGCCGAAAGCTCCTCTGCTGACCTCCTCCCAACATGGAAAGATTGGTATGCCTCCGCGAATTCCTTAGCCTTCACGAACCTGTAAGGCTCATCTCTACGTATCCAATATTGTTGTTGATCTTTCTTGGATGTCACCTGTCAACAATTCAGTTTAGTATCAAATACGGGCCGCAGATTATGAGCAAAGACGCAGGATCCAACCCTGATAGTCTTAGTGTGAGAGTCACACCTGAGCTCTCCGGACACTCTGGCCTCCCACCTAATCTAATGGAGTTGCTAGAGTGTTGATCTTGAGACGAGGGATTTCGGCCCAGTTTGGTAAAATAGTTAGTCTATCAGTCAATTTTGACTTATTTGATTGTTTGACTTAGTTAAACATTTGATTAATTAGCTTTTTGTAACAATTTATTGTTCCAAAAACACAAATTCAAAAAGCTGCTCAAAATAGCTTTTCCGATCCGCTTTTTTAGAAAGTCATTTTGTATGTAATCAGCTAACCGCTAACAACTAATTTACCAAACACTTTTCTACAATCAACTAGTCAAACTTACTAATAACGCAATCAGCTAACAGTCATTTACCAAACACTCTCGTATTTTATGGGCAATCATATATTAAGTAAAGAATCTATTGCATTTACTAATGGAAGAAATGGTTTAATGAAGTGAAGGGCAAGCGTACGTACTTCTTGCAAGAAATCGGCGACGCCTTTTCTGTCGGGGCATCTGAAGCCCATGGACTCGAAGAAGTCGAGGATGTGTTCGCGAGGGCCCTGGTAAACGAGGTATCCATCCGACAACAAAATAATATCGTCGAACAGGTTGTAGGTCTCGGGCGCGGGTTGGAGCAGAGAAATGACGGCGGTTCCCTTGAGAATGTGGACGTACTGCTTAAGCGAATTGACGATGGAATAGGTTGTGGAGCTGTCCAGCCCCGTCGAGATTTCGTCCATGAAAAGAGCTTTCGACGGTCCGACAATCATCTCGCCGGTGGTCACACGCTTTTTCTGCCCGCCCGATATTCCTCGTATCATTTCATCGCCCACCATTGTGTCCGCACAAACTTCCAGTCCCAGAATCTGCTTATGCACCAGTATCCAGTTTTAAGTTTTCATTAATTTCATCGCAGTTTTGGTCACTATATACTCTTCCATTGATGAATGAATGATGATTCAAATTCACATTACCTTAAGAATATAATCAGTCACCACATTTGCTTCTTGTCCTTCAGTAGCTGCAGCCTATATATACACACAAAAATCAAATATTATAATAATCAAAATCATGTCTTTTCCTACATTAAAAAAATAAATAAATAAAAAGAAAAAACAGAACTAGACTGTAATCACAAATTACTCATCTAATATCATGTCAAGTCAAGTGAAGCTTGGGTAATATTATTTGAAGTTTGTTAAAGAGTTAATTTAATTTGTATTTGACAATTCACTTTAAACATTTTTAATTAGAAAACCCTTATTTGGTCATAGTATTATGTGACATGATCATTTTTAGTTATTCATCCATAAAATCGTTGAAATGTCGTTAAATATAATGACATTTCAATTTTTTTTAATACAAAATCGTTTAATTTACCAAATATTTGTCTACAATCAGCTAATGTTATCAACAAATCAAACTCACTAACTCAATCAGCTAACAACTATTTACCAAACACCCCTAAATCTACCACTTGAATACTAAATATACATGTCAAGTGATTAAATGAGTGTAAACAAATGTGTTCAGCAACAATAATAATAATACTTTAATTTCTTATGTTTTCAGCAATAATGTAAATTATTGCAGGAGAATAAGAAAGTACAGTACATTTTTAATTGCTGAATTTGGTGATCCTGTCGGAATCAGAATCACATACGTGTGCAGTGTGCTGGCGTAGCATCGCCGCAATAAATTAAATGAATCTACTCTCCCCTCTGTTTACACTCACTGACCCTAAACCCTATACAATACGGAGTAATATATTTTGGTTGACAACTCTAAATATGACCCAATGCCTTACGTCATTCCAAATAATAATTTATCTTTCTAATACTTTACGAATAATGATTAAGATTTTTTAATAATATTATGTTGGGCTACGTAACCTAACACTTTAAAGTGACAACACGTACACTAATATTATTGGTCTATAAATTATTATTTTTAATATGATATAAAAAACACACACTGATTGAACAATTCATCAGTCAATTTTCTGAGTGTGATTTTTCTAGTAACTCAAAAAAAAAAAAAAAAAAAAACAAAAAACAGTGGGGCTGATCGAATTGTTACCTTCATGTAAACGTCAATATCGGGATCTGGTTTGATGTTTGCTGCTTTCTCCCTTCTTGACAATTCCGCCAACATTTCTGCAAATAATATATATTTCCCAACATTTAAGTAATGAAGTTTGACTACCTTAAAAGTAGGAATTAGGTAAAAGAAATACCATAACGAGAGCCAACACCCTGGCATCTAGCTGAGAATTCCAAGGTTTCTCGAACTGTCATTTCTCCAATATGCAAATCGTGTTGGCTAATATACGCAGCTGTTCTCTGCGGCACAAATTCGTCTAACCCATGCCCATTGTACGTCACTCTCCCACCCACCCTCAACGCTTTATCAAGCTTCCCTGCCAGCGCTAGTAAAAGTGTTGTCTTCCCCGAACTCGGTGGCCCCAACAGCAACGTCATTCTATACAATTACAAATTCAAAATCCATATCATCAACTAACCAAGATTTAATTTTATTTTGTACTGAGCTAAGAAGAAATTAAAACCTGCAGCCACATGACTACAGATGTCAATCAGCCTAAGCTAGGTTGTTCGTAACTAACTATTAATAGTTAGGTTGAACTTGGTAGCTTATAGTTTTACCAAGCTAACAATTCGACTAACTTAGTTAGAGTTGCTGACTAACCTGCATGGCTTGATGATTCCACTAACATCATTGAGGATAGTGAGGTTCCTTTTTTTGGTTCTAGTGATGTGAAGGGCGTTCAGCAGATCCTGTTAGATAGAAGTGATAATGAATATGGAGAGAGAGAGTATATATATTTATTTGACTACATATATATATATATATACCTCAATGAAATTTGTAGTGAAGTTGATGAATGTGGGCAAAGCTCTGCTGCCTGCATATGCATCTGCCTCCACTTTAAGATGCTCATATCTCACTTCTATTGTCGGCAAGTCTATCCCAACTCTGCATATATAGTTCAAATTTCACATTCCAAAACACATCAATTTTAACAACTAAATTACAAATTTGATTTTTATTTTTATTTTTAAGACAAGTGACAGACAAACCTATCTATTCTGTTCCTGAGTTTCATCAAGAACTTCTCGTTGTCTTCATCGGCAACATTAACAAGCCGCTGAAGCAAGGTCTGTCGTTCATGGAATCCGAGGTTGTTTATATCCACCTCCGTCGCCGGCCCTTCCGCTCCGAACAGAAGCCCTTTTCTGAGACGATCGAACGTGGGCAACTTCTCGAGCGCCGCCCATTTGAGAGCCTCCTCGTCGTCCTCGTCCCTGGACGAGCGGGAAAACACCTCCACGCCGGTGTTCCTCCATATGGAATTGCTGTTGGCTCTGGAACTCCCTCTTAAGCTCCCTCTCAAGCTCCCTCTTATACTCCCCCCTCTTATAATCCCCAAATCCGCCGCCTCCATGCTCTAATTCTATATTCGCTCCGACCCCTTTTCTCTTCTTTGAACTTTCGAGTTCTGATCTGGGATTTTTAGACGATGATCATATGATCAGAGTTAGTTGGCCTTCTCTCTGTTCTCAGAGTAGAAGAAAGCTAAGAGGTGTTTGGGTGTGTTGAAGATTGGCAGTTTTATAGTGGCCGGGAAGAGTAGAGATATCCAACTACTGTGAGGTGGGCGGCTGGGATTAATCCCTCAAAACTGTTATTTTTTTTTTAAGGAAAGACATCGAACTTTATTAAAACTGTTTAATTGCATTTCATTTATTTTTCTAGCTTTTAGGCATAAGACAACATTTTGTTTCTATATTGTCTAAAAGAGGAAAATAAACTATTTTACTAGTTTTTTAATCAAGCTAAAGGTCAAAAGTTATCCATTAGAACTTAGAAGTACCCAAAAAGAACAATTAATTGTTTTTCTCTTATTTTTCTTAAATTTTGCATTTATAGTACAATAACTATTAGGAAAATATTGAGAAAATATGATTAAAAATTACAGTATTCTTCAAATTAAGAATGCCAATTAGAAGACAGTTCCAATCAGACTGGTCGGATTGTTAGTTTGATAACTACAACATTTCAAGTTTAAATTTTCATGAGAACTAATATCGATCAACTATAGACATTCTAAACTTATTTATCTCATTGTGGGAGACAAAAGGTATTGGACAACTTAAGTTATTGATTTACCCATGTAGATCCTTTTCGGGTAGGCTAATTAAACAACTCTTGCCGGGAATTAAACTTGAAAAGAGTTACTAAGTACTGTATGATTAATTTGGCTAGGGTTGTCCATACTCTTTTACTAGTATAATAATAAGAGAGAAATGAAATTTGTTGAAAGTTTAAGTCATTTTGTAAATTTTAACCAAATTCAGTTAATTTGTACAATATAATAAAAAAGAATGAGAGATTTAATTTTATGTATATGAAAAAAAAATTTTAAAAATTTTGTTCACCATTTTTTCTATTAATATTTATTAGTATTATACTTTAGCGATAGTTATATTTGATGATAGGCAATGGGAAATTATAACCAAAAAATTAGGGTGCCTGCCACCATGTTTGACCTTTGAACTGGATCATAGGACATAGTGTACATTTGTACATTTTCCAAGCCACATATTCTTTGTGTGTTATAGTTTTAAAATCAATCATATTCGACTACTCCTGTTTGACAGCAACGTTGAGCAGCCAGGTTTGAATAAACAACATAACTGGCACCGTTAGATTGACCTAACCCATCAAGCCTTTGTTTGTCTTTTTCGTCTTCACTACATTTTTCTTTTACATCTCATTGCATACATATGTGAAAGTGAAAATGCCGCCTTTCTTACCCATTTTATATGAAATTAAAAAAAAAAAAAAAAAAAAGGTAAATGAACTTTTTAGAGAGTGAATGGGTATTGAAAATTAATTTAGCTGATAACGGGTTGTATTAACCTATGACTTCCTATTTTGAAAGAGTCACAATTATACTATTTGACCACAAAATCTTTGACATAAATTTTAAAATTTCTGAGATTTAATATCACATATTTGTATATTGTCACTAATATTTTTAATTATAATATTAATTCAAGTAAAAAGCTAACATAAATATTTACTTCATACAACTAAAATTTTTAAACTAAACTCCTAACAAATTCTATATACATTAAATCATGGTTAAACATTATTGTGGCTAAACTAATACTTAAATAAAAAAAAAGTTAATTATTTTTACTTATAATTAATATAATTTGATATAATAATCACAAGATATATGTTTAATTATAAAAATTTTAAAAATTTATAATTGTCACAATATTTACACAATAAGACTAGAACAAATGGATGTTGATAAAGTAGAACACAAAAATACATGCATGCATATAAAATGTTTTTTTTTTTTTTTTGGTGATGAGAGAAAGTTGGTTATTATTTTTTGAGGATATATATATAATAACTTGTTTTTTAAATAATTAAGATGTTAATTCGCAATTATTATATAAGTGCGTGCATATAAAATGATTCATTTAAAAAAATGATTGCATGCTCGAGATCCATATTTTATACTTTCATATTACATAATCATCACATATAAAATAGTTAAAATGTATTATATATTGTTGTATACCATGTGCGGAAATATCATGCATGATGCAACCTTATTTATTTTATGTTTAATTATAGTTGTTTATTGTGCACAAAGATAAAAAATTATTTTCAAGATTCAGTGTAGTTGGTTCGTCGCCTGACTTAAAGGACATGACTACAGGTAGTATGTGCATATAAACACTAATGAATCTGATCGGTGAGCTAATTGCATGATTCGTGATTTACTTATGCAGTGACTCTAAGGACGAGGTCTTGTTGATACATGATTAATTTAAACAAAGTTGGGACACCTAATTTTTTTTTTTTTTTTAAAAAAAAAACAAAAAAACAAAGATACAATTTTTTTAAAAAAATGTATTCAATATATATATTCATCGAATATATTCGTATGCTTGCTGTATCAAATTTAAAAAATCGAGGGCATAATATTTTAACTTATAAAATATAACACAACGATACATAGAATCTACATTTCAAATAGACCACAACTTTATAATGGGTAAAACAAGAGTGGAAAAAATATATTAAAACAAAATTAAGTAATTAATAAATAAACAATTTGTAGTGCCAATATTCTACGTCGTCGATAATCGTTGACACAAAGACTTTTAGTCCCTGGAGCCTGGCCCGACCCGCCAGAGGTTTATAGGGTCAATACTTAATTGGTCATTCAAAATAAATAAAATTCTTATTCAACAACTTGACAAACCTGTAATTAACAAGACTTCTGATAATGAACGAAAGAAAACGAAGATCGCCTTGAAGAAAAACCATTCTGATCTTGACATTCAATTCTCAAATCAGATCCTCCAATTTTAGTCGTTGAGAAAAATTGATATTTATATATTTTAAAAAATTATTATCATACATTTGACACATTAATCGATGGGTGTTAATAATGAGATATCGTGTCTCTTTTATTTTAACTAAAAATCGATCTCTTATTCAAACTTGTGTGTCCTAGTGTACTCTTTCTTACACAAGGCTTCATTTATTTTAGAAGACTAATACAAATCATGGTTAATGGTTTAAATTTCATTTCAAACAAAAAAAAATTATATATATTTTATATAAAAATAAATAAAAAAAATTCTGAGTCTAGCATGGGATTGACCTAGGATATCTGATCAGTGCCTAACCTAGACCCAGGCCCGGGATTTGGACAAATTATTCTGTGAACTCGAGTTTAAAAGTTTCACAATTTACCTATTGAATGTTCACAATTTACATATTAAATGCTTACAATTTACTTCACAATTCAAATTATGAACATTCAGTATGTAAATTGTGTATTTTGAATCCGTCCATAGTATAATTGTTACGAGATTTGGTCACCTCTAATATATATATATATATGTATATATATTGATTGCATCCAATATTATCTGACTTTTTTATCCAATTATACTAAATAATATCGACCCATAAATAAAACTTCAAACTATATAATACTTGTCCCTTTTTTTTTTTTTTTGTAAAGGTTGTTATTGAATTGGACAACAATCTAAATTAAACAGACCAAGAATATTATAGTAACAACACTTATGATTCAACAATAAAATACGAGGAAGTAGTTGCGGTGCACTTGAGTTCCGGCGGTCAATTAATCCAACAGTGCCAAAATTCTGAATCTCTGACGGTTCAAGAACATGTGTTTAGACTGCAAAAAAGCAAACTCCAACAATATAGTGCACAAAAATCGCTGCACGTAGACTTTGTCAACACCCGTAAATTAACGGCGTTAATTTTCTTTCTTTTTTACCCCACTAAATAAATTATTAAAAATGTCAATATCCACCTCATTTTCGGTTGGTTAAAATGCGGCATGATATAAACTTTGAAAAAAAAAAAAAAACATGAATGGTATGAAAGACACAAGTAACCGACCGTGAATGTAATTAAAGAGCGGCAAAGATTACTGGGCCACTTCAATACTAGAACATGTTTGATTCTTTTGTTCACACACAAATGTAAATGATTTTGTTTGGTAGAATATAGGCGCCTGTTTATAAGGATCTAAATAGTTTTTTTTTGGTGTTACAGAATTAGATGGATGGCAAAGTTTTGCCAGATATCATTGTTTCCATTAATTTGGAGGCTATTAAGTCAATACAGAGGACACAAGTAACCTTCTGTTTTTTAAATTTTTTTTTTTTTGTTCACATCAAAGTAAATGAAAGATTTGCTTTTCTTCTAGAAATAAGTTTCTATTCAATTGTTACAAGTGTCTAAAAAATCACACATCATAAATTTGAATCTATTGAACTTAATAGGTGCTATTTCACTTCTATGTTTGGTAATATAATATTATAATTAGGTTATCAGTCAATTTTAACTTATTTGATCACTATTAACCGTTTGACTTGATTAAAAATTAATATATGTGTATGATTAATTAGCTTTTTGTAACAACTTATTGCTACAAAACACTAACATTCAAAAAGATGCTCAAAATAATTTTTTTTAATCAGAAAATGTCATCATTTTGCATGTAATCAGCTATCAGTCAATAGCTAACAGCTAATTTACCAAACATATTTCTACAATCAGCTAATGTTATCAACTAGTCAAACACACTAACTCAATTAGCTAACAACTATTTACCAAACACCCCCTTAGTTTTTTTTTTTTTTTCAAAACATCTCATATTGGTCCTAGTATTATTGTGACATGACTATTTTTGGTCATTAGTCAACAAATACGTTTAAATGATGTTAAATAATAGGGTATTTCAATCTTTTTATACAAAGTGAATTAACCTGCTATTTTTATATATCAAGGCATTTCATCAGCTTGGATTTCTTCAGCAGGTTTTCTATCATCTACCATTTTTTTTTCGCAGAGACACGAATTGCACTTGAAGAAGACAGAGCACTCTGACCAGTGAGTTAGAGATTTTTCATAAATAATATATATATATATATATATATATATATATATAATGAGTCAACCCACTTTGTATTAAAAAAAAAAAAAAAAAAAAGACCAAATGTCCTTGTATTCAATATCATTTAAATAGGCATG